TCCTCTAATTCGGAATCTTCAATTTCACACAAGTGAACCGATAGGTCACTATTTGATCCATTTTTCGAGTGGAGATTTCTGAACACATAAATTTCTTCCGATTTGTCTATATGAAGAGAATGAAGAAATTAAGAAAATTTATACAAAATTTGTTAAGCAAGAGCATATAGCATTTTGTGAAATAAAATTACAATTGAAGGGATTATTTAGGATAACACATGGGGTGATGCATTATTATTTTGGAGTTCGTTTTCGCACATACATACCACTTAATTTTCTTCTGGGTAGCATTTCACTGGTGGCTTTTGAAAATACCTCAGTGCTTGAACTTTCACCTTCAGTTTCACTGGGTACATTAAATGGAGGTAAATATGAATCTGGATGCCGTAAGTATGCGTTACCTGATGTTTTCAAAATAGAAACATTTGAAGAGCGTAAATTCCATGCAATTAAATAACAATAATTTTTTTTTTTTTACTTTTTAGTAACTTTTTAATTTATGTTAAATTATAGTGTTTTACTAAAATTTAAGTACTTACATGAGTTCATAGGATCATATGTTGAAGGCACTATAAAAGAAGAAATCAAAATGATTAGGAATATCAAAATTCGATAAATTTAAATTAAAAAATTTAATTTTTTGGAAATCAAAATATTATTTGAAGGTCCAACTGAAATTGAACTCGAAATATCGAAATGAAAATATCGATATATACAAATTTATCGATACATATATGAAAAGTAATGGACGTTCGGAGTCGGCATAAAACTGTAGGTGCCTCCCGTAACAATAACATAACATAGTATGTGTAAGCGCCGACCTAGTATTATTATTATTAAATAAGGTTATTACCTGGATTTGTAATGAAGTCTTCATTCTCAAAGTTAATTTGGGGGCTCAGTCTTGAAACATCATCATTATTAATAAGCGGCAGTTCGAAAGGTCGCATACAACTCTCGAGTTCAGAGTCGATGCATTCGGATGTTAAGTCTTCATTTAAAGTTACAATATCTCGTGTAGGATCAACACCAACGCACATACCTAACGGGAATAAATAATAGGTATATTTGTATACAAAAATAAACATACATACATAGATAAAATAATAGAAAAGATTTGTGTGAACAGTTTTAATTATCAATTTTATTATCCCAACTTACTTTGCATTGCATAGGTACGCCTTGGCTTAGATTCATTGCTATCATTACTATGGAAGCTCGATGAGTCGGCAATCTCAGCACCAGGTACCTCTGTTATATCCGGCAATGGATTATGGCTTTTACGTACCCAATCCGAACAGTCCCAATGATATTGACCATGATTGACCGTTGGATAATCGGTATAAGGTGAATGACATACATTTGGCACTGTTACTTGTATCATTTTGCTACAGCCCGTTTTTAAAGCGGCATAATCGAGTTTTTCTAAATAGGAAATGTACATATATTTATAAATTGTAAAATCTTGTAATAACGATTGGCAAAAAAAAAATATCTTAAGTATTAAGTAAAAATTAAATCCTACTAATATTATATAAGAGAGTTGCAATTTTTATCAAAATGATTTATTTGAAATTATTTAACAAGTTAAAAGAAACAATTTTATATGGGTATCAACCGAGAGATGTTTCGAAAAAATTTCTGAAGAGGGTGCCAGATGCTCCAAAATACATCATACACGCACTCTCTTCGGAAACAATAACCAAAAAGAAAAAAATTGTAATACCAATTTTGATGATATATTTTAATATGGGATTTCGAAGATAGTTTTAAAAGGTCAAAAGAGGTCTTACATCCTGTTTAAGAAGCCAAAATCAACTGAATTAATAATTTGAATTAAATAATTTATATAGATATCAAGCGAGAGAGGTTATTTCGGAAATATTTTTGACGAGGGTAGCCAACTGGTTAGAAATTAAAAATCAATTTAATTAATAAGTTATATACAATGTTCTAATATATGCATCAAAAGATAGAAATTTACCGAAAAATTTCGCGGGGTTTCCATCCGAATTATAAAATATATATTATTATTTCGGAAAATATTAAGATTAACGTGGGGGCTACACTGATTTGAAAGTACCTTCAAAAATCTCATTATTTTGACTCCGTTGATAACATTTTTAAAAAATTTTGAGTAGACCTTTCAGGTTTGAACTCTTCTATCATCTTCTATCGATTTTTAGGAAAGCATTTTTAAAAACTAGTTTTATTATCAATGAAAAACTAAAATGTTTGATGTGTTTTCAAATATGTCCAGCTTACGTAAGGCCTGTATGCAGCTCTCAAGAAAAGCAAAAACTCCATATAAAATGACGTACAAGAAATGGCTAAGAAATTTTCTTGAGTTAAATTTCCTTAAGGCAGTACGGAGTTCTTAAGAAATTTACTACGCTTTCTACTACGGTTTTCTAAAGTTTTTTGTGAAAAAAGAGCACAGGTCAACCCAGGTTTGCAACAGAAATATATGCCCGTTCCATTATTTCTTGAGGAAAGAGGAGAAGGCTGTGAGGTACCAAATATGTCAAAATTCCTTGGACACACACGCGAAATAATGGAAATTTTTTCTTGACCGTTTTCTTGAGAGCTGCATACAGGGCTTTAAGCATAATCTAATATTTCTTCAAAATATTTTGGCGGAAGTCTTAAAATATAATAAATCTTATATTTCCGATGGAAAACCAGTACCGATTTTTATTTTTTTTTTGTATGAACAGTGGTGCACCCTAATGTATATAATAAAGCAATATTTACTCACCATTGTTAAGCTTATTCTCGCTGAACGTCTTCAAATGCATTTGCTCAGCCCAGTCGCGCTTCTGTACGGGATCAGAATCGTTTAGATTTACATGCTCATTATTTCGATTGATTTTTTGATATTCGAATGGAATGTTTTCCAGCTCATCACCCGCCGAACCGTAGCTGCGCAATATGTCCAAGTTATTCACGAAGGTTGTGTGACCAGTGTACAAGTTATCATTTGTCGATGCTGTATAACTCATTGGCCGCTGGTTTATCTCCAAATTGCTCATCTTAGCGATATTCTTGGCGTATTTTTCCTTACAGACAAGCGAATTCAAATTCTCACCCTTATATGGATCCTTACTCGTTGAATTTTGGCCGCTTGTATTACTGCTCTTCCGAATGACTATACAACAGAAGGCCACAAGTATAACTATGATAATGAACACTATGCCCACCACAATGCCAGCAAGCTGCTCCATTGAGAGATTCTTTAACTTTGTAGAAATCGAATTGGAATATAATGGATCGCCACAACTGGCGCCTGTAAGATAAGATGGGCAAATACAGCGAAAGCTACCAGCCTCATTGATGCAGGTGGCACCATTGCCACACGGATGATTATCACATTCATTCACGTCGATCTCACACGTTGGCCCGGTATAGCCACGGCACATGCAGTGCGGTGTGCCATCGCCCTCCTCGCAAACGCCACCATTTTTGCATGGATTGGGCGAACAATATTTGCCATATTCGCAGCGGTGCCCCGATAAGTGCAGCGGACATGCGCACGTGTAATTGCCCAACTCGTGCACCTCACAGCGGCCGCCGTACAGACAGGGCGCCGAGGCGCACGGATCCATATCCATCTCACACACCTTCCCGGTGAAACGTGAATGACAGGTACACTTGAATTTATTCTCGCCCAAGTCGATGCAGATGCCGCCGTTGAGGCAAGGCTGTGCGCCACAAATGCCCAGCTGTACGAGCACGCTCGTCGGATCACAAGTGAACTCGACGTTTGTGAAACGCTTTAGCGCCGCCACAGAGCTGCCACCCGATATGTATAGTGGTAGTGGATCGAGCGCAATTTTGATGTCTGACATGCAGCCAATGAAACCCTTCTGTATGTCCTCGAAGCCGATGATGGAGGGATGCGGTTTCACTTCAGCGCCCACGAAAATATCACTCGATTGTATGTTTAGTATGCCATTGACGCCTGGCGCACTGCCCTGCGAGACGTGCTTGTTGTCCACCGTCAGCTTGGCGCTATTCAATATGCGTTCCAGCGTAATGGTATGCCACTCGCCATCGGCAATGTAAATGCTTGAGACACATATTTTTCCCTCGCCCGAGCCCAGCTCGAAGCGATATTGCACAGCGCCATTGAAGATCTCCAGTATGTGATAGTCGATGCGGCCGCTGGAAAAGAGTAACGTGCCCGTTTGCTGTACAGTGCGTATCTTCAGCGAATAGACAAACTCCTGCTCGAGTATAGACTTCGCCACAGCCTTGTTGATCTTGTAGTGCGCATAGCTCTTGCCGCTGAAGGAGACCGATGTGAAACGCGCGCTGCAGTTGCCGTGTGGACATTTCGATAGCGACGATTTGCTGTCGCAGGCATGACCGGTGTAACCTTGCGGACAGATGCACTGGTAGCCGACAGTAGTGTTGGCGGGCCAGCATGTCTTCTCCGGCGGACAAGGGTCCGATGAGCAGGCGTTTATCGGCTCGTTGCAGATGCGTCCACCATAGCCTTGCTTGCATTGACATTCGTTAGCGTGCTTGTACGTGGGTGAGGCGAAGCTGGCGACATCTGTGGAGTACGTATTTAACTTGCGCTTATTGAGGCGTATGCGATTGAAGCAGTCACCTTGCATGCAAATATTGCGCGCACAGGTAGGCGCCATTATCTCTTCCACCACCAGATTGGTGGCGTCCTCGATGTCGTCAATGAAATTCACCAGCACTGCGCGCACCTCGGCTGTGGTGAAATACTCCTCTGAGCTAGGCGTAATTTGTTGCTTGCGTACTGCGAATAAAATATTCAAATTATCGGCAGCCATAGGCGTCTGACGCTTACTCCGCTCCAGCATGACATTTTCCGAATCGTTCGGTTCCTTGTAAGTGGCATGGCTCGAGGCCGTTTGTATGGCAATGATGGTGATGTCTTTCTGGCGGCAGCGTAGTATGGCGCGCAAAGCGCGTATGAACCCTTTCCGATGACTCAGTATGAACGCTTCGGGCGTAACTTTGCGAAAACTTATCACAACTGCATTTCGTGTCATATCGCCCGTTATAAGCTCCACATTCAGCTTGATAACTGCATGCGCTGTAAACTTGCCATCGGTAACTGTTACATTAATGCGATACATGCCCACATCGAGGTTGCTGATGGCGTACAGGGAACCGTTATTTTGTGATATATTGAATAGTTGCTTGGTCTCGAACGACTCACCGCTGGTGGGCGTCAGCGCGTATATCAAATTGTCATACTTATCCTGATCGCTCGCATGTATGCGACCTAAGAAACCACCGATATAATCGTCGTCATAAGACTTCACAGTAACCTCCAACGGTGTTATAACAGGCGGATATTGGCTCTCTTCGATGATGCGCACATGCACCCAGGCGTCCGAATAGAGCGGCGGTGTGCCATTGTCAAAGACGCGAACCTGCAGCGTGTAAATGTCGCAGATTTTGTGATTAAAACGCGCCGCAGTACGCAGCCAGCCATCTTGCTCGATGCGGAAGAAACCGCCATCATTGCCGCTGCGAAGATCGAAGGTGTAGGGCGACGTATTCGGCGGTTCATCGGCATCGGTGATTTCGAATGGCAGCACATTATAGCCCAACTGCTTGTTCTCCTGCAATACTACGCTGTAATTTTGCTGGCGGAAGAGCGGCGGATTGTCGTTCACGTCCACAATATCCACATAGATGCGCACATAGTTGCATAGCTCGGGCACGCCATTGTCGCAGGCCTTCACCTCTAGCAAGTAATTGGCATTTAACTCACGATCCAGCGCATTGATGACGATTATCTGACCAGAGAAGTCTTCTATGGCGAACTGATTGAGCTGATCGCCACGCTCTATATTATAGCGTATGATGCCATTTTGGCCTGAGTCCGCGTCGGTAGCCAATACCTGTAGGACCCTTTGCATTTTAGATGCATCCTCCCGCACTTTCGCACGATACGTATTCTGCGTGAATTTCGGGCGATTATCGTTGACATCCAGGACCGAAATATTCACCGAAGCTATGTTGCTGAGCGGTGGTGTACCGCCATCAATCGCTTGCACGGTGAGAAAGTAAGCCTTTGTGCGTTCATAATCCAAATCATCATTTACATATACGCTGCCCGTCTTGGAATCAATGCTGAACTTATTATGCTCATTGCCGCCCACAATGAAGTACAGCACCTCCGCATTGACGCCTATGTCCTTTGAGGTCGCAAAGATGCGCACCACCTCCGAGTTGAGTGTGGCATTCTCGTACACATACGTGCGATACTCGCGCTTACTGAATTCTGGTGGATTATCGTTAATATCGAGCACGTTGATGATGAGCCTTGTGATTGTTAACTGCTTGGGATTGCCACAGTCCACCGCTTTAATAGAGATGTTGAATATGGAAATGCTTTCACGATCTAAACTTTTCGAGAGTTTTATAATGCCACTCGTGCGTGAGATGCTAAAGTTCGGCTGCTCTTCAAGGAATGAGTAAATGATCTTGCGATTGAGGCCGAAATCTTTATCGGTCGCATGCACTTTGGTCACAATGGTGCCGACAGGCGCATCCTCGGGTATGCTTACTATATACTGTGCCATTGAGAACTCTGGTCGATTATCGTTGAGATCATTGACGATGATAATCAACTCAGAGGTGCATACCTGCAGCAGCTCTTGGCCGTCTTGCGCATGCGCAGTTAAAATATAACGCGCATGCGTCTCTCTATCTATCGGCTTAGCCACACGCAAGGTGCCGGTGTCTTTTTCTATGAAGAAATCATCTGAGCGATTGCCTGTCAAATAGTAACGTAACTGATTACCGCCATTCTCATCCAGATCCAATGCGTCGATTTGTATTAGGGGCGTACCCGCCATCACAGATTCATTAATTCTCAAAGTGTAGCGTGGCGTCATACAAATCGGCACATTATCATTCACATCCTGCACCGTTATCACCACCTCAGTGGTGGCCACAAACTTGCCATCCGTTACAAGTACATGCAAGTTGTAAGCTGCGATAGCCTCTCTATCCAGTGGCTTGGCCACAAAGAGTTCACCGGTTTTACCAATTTGGAATTGCGAAAATTTATCACCACTCATTATATAATAGCTTGTTATGCTCTTCTCGGCATCCAGATCGGTAATCAGGAAATATTTCAAAATGGTGCCAGGCAGCGCGTTCTCTTGCACTGCGATCTCGAATTTGTCCTGATTGAAAAGCGAGGGATTGTCGTTGTAGTCGATGATCTTGATGGTCACAGGCACCTTCGACACATGCTTCGGTTGGCCATTGTCAGTTGCGAGCACATTGAAGTGGTACTCCGATTGGGTTTCCCTATCCAGTGCGCTCAGCAAGGTTATCCAACCCGTGTAGATATCGATGTCGAAAACATTTGATGCAGTATTTGTTTCGTCTTCCAGATAATAGCGAATATCCCCATTCGATCCTGTATCCATATCGGTCGCTGTGATTTTTATGATCGAGGCGACTTTGTCGATATTCTCGCCTACATGCACATTGTACTCGCGACTATCAAACTTTGGTGAATTATCGTTTTCATCCAGCACTTGTATGTGGATTTCGCAAAAGGTAAAAAGAGGCGGGATAGTTTCTGTCTCCGCCATGGCAATCATATAGTGTACATCGTTCACTTCGCGATCGAGCGTTTGCATGAGTATTACTTCACCATTTTCGGAAATCGAAAACTTTCGACTTTCAATTGGTATTGAAAATTTCACAGAATAATTTCCGGAAAGCCGTAGTTTTGTCAAGACGGAACCCGGTGGTGTGGATTCTAAAACGTGCAGTTCAAGGGAACGCTTTTCAAATTCCGGTACGGTAACATTGGCGCTGATGAATTGCACTGTAACAGGCACATCATTGTGGAACTGGGGGCTGCCACGATCCAGAGCGCGCACAAAGAACTGCGCGACATTGTTGGCGAGCTCTGTTATAGGTCTCAGCAAGCTCAAAGCACCATCGTGCTCATTGATAGCGAATATATCTTTGTAAGTTTCCGCCACTGTCGACTCGTCGATTGTGTACGTTAAACGAGCATTATCATGCTCATCTATATCGAATGCTTTTACCTATGTAAATGAATAATGAATGAGCAAAGTGAGGTTATGTTAAATAATAAATAAAAAAAAATGGGAAGAAACTATAGGTTAGCTGGGGTCGCCGTACCCTAGTGGTTAAAGGTATGCACGTACTATCATTTGGCAGGATCCATGTTTGATTCCTACTCCGACCAATGTCCAAAAATAATATCGGTTACCTGTCGGCAGGCAGTGGCAAACCGCCAATTGTATTTCTGACATGAAGCAGCGACGAAAAAGACAAATTGGAGAGGAACTCCGAGGAGGAGTCCATCAGCGCGAAGAATTGCCAAATTATTGCACGTTCCCACGACAGTCGGGTCTACGTAACCGGAACGACCGAGATTTACATATATCTGGCCAAGGACTGTTACTCCAGCAACACTCCCCAAAAACTCTTTGGGGAACTTGTATGCTGTTACAACAACAACAGCCAAATGTTTGCACGAATCGTTGATAATTCTATTTCGGACCACTCCCATTCAACATGTGCCAGGGTTAGACACAAGACCACTCGATCCTTAACATACTCAGGTTATGGATTACTGCCTATCCAGACTACCTTCCAGCTGCTCAGTGGGTGGATCGCATTTAATCAAGGGATGATAAAGGAAATTTTACAAGCACGAGTTGCAGTTTAACGGAAGTGGTCAGTGAAAATACTAATACTAGTATTTTTCAGGCAGAGATAGCAGTCATTAAGAAAGCAGTTGAATGGCTGCAATTAAGGAGGCAAATATTTAATCTTATGGCCAAGCTGTAATTAGGACATTGAACTTCCAAACGGTGCGCTCAACATTAATCGCAGAATACCTGAATTAGAACTTCGATGAGTACCAGGCCACAGTAATATTGCTGGGAACTTAATAGTGAACGAGCTCGTTAGGAAGCGTACCTCGAGGTGGTTTCATCGAGCTGACTACCTTACCACTAATCATGAACAGATTAGTTTTACGCCAGTTTAGTGACGTAAGTAACTGCAATGGTATTCTGGCCCTGGGTGCATCGGAGGCGGCGACCCCCTATAAAATGTAACATCTGTACATAAAAGTCGCGATTTCGCCGCTGCTTCCAGCGTGTTGAGGTAGAATTCTCTTTGCATTCTAAGCTGATCAGCTTTTACATCCTAAATAGTTCCGAGGATCGCTCTGGGATGGATAACAGATAACTGCGAAACGTCGTTTTTGGCACGCAGAGCTTTTCCGAAACTAAACTAACTAACTATTAATAATAAAAAACTAAACTATTAATAATAAAAATAATAATAGATTGGCGCTTACACATACATATGTTAGTGTTTGGCCGAGCTTCTCCTCCGATTTGTGTCGTGTCTACAGTTTTACGCCGACTCTGAACGGCGACTGTATTTTATTGAGAAGCTGTTTTTCATGGCAGAAATACACTCGGAGGTTTGCCATTGCCTGCCGAGCGGCGACCGCTGTTAAGAAAAAACCTTTTTTTTAATTTTTTTTTTTGCTATGTTGCTTTGACCAGGCCAGAAAATAAGGAGAAAGAAAATTTCGAAAGAAAACTACCCCTGGAGGAGAAACGAGACTCTTGATGAAGGAGTATAAAAGCATAGACAGACGGCAGCGTTGATCTGGATCATCTCGTTAATACGTAATTATGCCGTGAATTTACTGTAGTTGATCCAGATTTAGTCCTATAGTCAATTATCGAACTTAATGCTGATCAGGGGCGTTTTCGATGACAAAACCGACAAAAACTCAGAGAACGTAGAATACAGAGAGGATGCAAAACGAGCCTGGACATCTACCTCGTCGTCACCATACTAAATTAGTCAGCATACTAATTCAGATAGGAATCCAATTGAACAAGAACTTATTTGAATTAGTATGATGAATGCATAATAGGGTGGTCCAAAAATATTGCGAGGGAAAAAAGCTTGAAATGTTAAGATTTCACCCGTTAGGATTTTTCTAAATGGAAGAATGTCCGTATTTTTTTTTAATAAAAGGATATCTAGAACTGCCTCAAGCCCATGAAGACTTCCATGTACATATCGAGCCCTAACCGCCAAAATAACATAAGCAACATTTTTTCCAAAATGTTCTTTTTGATGCAGAAATATTCCTAGAGCATCTAGATGCATTTCTGCATCAAAAAGAAAATTTTGAAAAAAATGTCGCTTACGTTATTTTGGCGGTTAGGGCTCGATATGTATTTTGTTTAGTATATCATTTTCTTAAAGATACTTCCAATAACAATACCCATTCGTTTATTTAACCATTCTTGAATAGTAACTATTTTTTTAGGTCCTCCACAAACCCCCAAAAAGGCAATGGGGGACCCATAAAAAATCGTTAGTATTAAAAAATTTTAAAATAAACAATTGGGTATTATTATTGGAAATATCCTGAAAAGCAAAACGGAAAATATTGATTTTCAAGAATTCTATAGGTATCATTTCTATGAAAAGGTGTTTTCCCAAAATAAAATACTTGGTTCTCAATAATTTTTTTTTTTTAACAAAAAATATAAGTATTTAACTTTTTTCATTCAGAAAGAGCTTAGGGGTGAGATCTTAACATTTTAAACTATTTTTTGTTGGGCCACCCTAATGCACAATCGCCGACAAGGTCCAGGCTAGTTTTTCTTGTTTTCTGTATTCTACGCTCTCTGAGGAAACAAGTAAGCCAACAAAGCAAATGCTCCCCACTTCGGGCAATTCTTAAAAATTATTTTTATTTTTCCTTTTTTTACACCTTTGTTTTGTCTTGCTTGAAGCCTCATGGTTAGGCGCTCACTAAATTTGTAAAAAGATCCTATTTCTTTATCTTCTTCTTTATAAAAGTGTATAACTTTTTGAATGTAGCTTTACAGAGAGTATCGTCTTATCAACACACAACACTTTCACATTTAGGGAGTTCACAAGGTGTTGTATACTGTCGTACTGTTGTATGTCATAAACTTTAAACGGCTAAAACTATATTTAAGGAATTCGCAAGCAACATAAAAGTTTTATTATGAAATTTCACACCGTTAAAAAATAGTTGGTGGTTATTTCAAGTTCTCTAAAAATTTATTTAGCCGTTAAAAACTTTACAACAAACGACAATACGATACGTACGACACCTTGTGAACCACCCAATTATGTCTGAGTATTTCTCTAAGGTCAAGATATCCGAACAGATGAATGATTTTTGTATCTTTTAAAAACATATGAACTAAATAAATTGCTTACTTACCTTCAAAAGTGTGAAATTAATTGGTGTATCGACTTTAACTACAAGTTTATATTCCTTAACCATGAAGCGCGGACTATTGTCATTTACATCTTCAACTTTGATTTTCAAGAGAGCATAATCTGCCTTGCCACCTTCGTCAGAGACCCGCACTAATACGTCGTAGAAAGCACGTTGCTCCCGATCAAATGCCACTTTGGTTGTAATGGAACCATTGCTGCCATCAATTTCGAAATACTCTTTGAATTCTTCTGAGACCAGATCATAAGTGAGTTTTGCAAAGCGTCCAAAGTCAGCGTCGTATGCGTGAAGCTATAGAAATGAAATCGGAAGATAATTTCAATATTATAAGCTTTTGCATTAGTAGGTGCCAAGTGAGTACTCTTACATAAAAAAGATTCGAAACTTGCGCAAACTTACCAAAACGATATTCTTTCCAGCTGCCTCATTCTCCCTCACACTCGCCTCATAGCTCGATTTCAAAAACTTTGGTGCATGATTATTTTCCGGCATAAGTATGATTTTTACCCTCGCATAAGTTGTGTGTACACCATCGCTAACGGAAACATTTAGCAGCGTCTGATGATGATCCGTGAAATTTTGCATATTTTGTAGCGTGATAACGCCATTATTTTCATTAATCGTATACGTTTGCAATTCATTGCCGTCGATTATACGATATTTAAGCCGATCGTTATCTTCATGATCGGGATCATAGGCTCTTGCATTGATAACGAATTGGCCACGTTGTGCATTCACTGATAGACGACTCGAGAAGGAAGCCTCCGTAAATTTTGGAAAATTATCATTGAGATCCCTTACTGTAATCCATACATTTGCTCGCGAACTTAACGATGGCGTACCATGATCTTTCACCACCAGTATGATGTGATGGAAAGTACTTTCTTCGGCATCTAAATTACTTTTCAAATATAGATATCCCTCTGACATGTCGATGTAAAAGAGTGCAGAGTTATTTTTACCATCGACGCTATCAATAAAATATGATAATTCGCTATTTGCATTCGCATCACAATCGGTTGCATTCACTTTCATTATTTGTGAACCGATTATGAGATTTTCAGATATGGTGATGTTGTAATTGGCTTGTTCGATTTCTGGATAACAATCATTGGCATCTTCGACAATTATTGACACCGTTACCTCGGCATAGATACCAGAGAGCGAATCGGTGGCACGCACCATAAATTCGTGGCTTTGCTTTGTCTCATAATCCAGCTCGTTAACGATGTAAATGACGCCTAAAAAATAAAAAAAACACAAGGGCGGAAATTATAGTGGAACTACAACTTTAAACTGCAAAAGGTCTTCAGCTTTTCGAAAGTCTTGAATCGTTTGGTTGAATTGTCAAAATTTTTATAGAAAAGTTACATTATTTTACACAAACACATACGTGGAGAAAAATTACCGTACACCGAGTTGGCGACTATCAAGCTCGGTGTGAAGACCCTTATTATATACGCATTTTGACAGTTCGATAAAAGTTTCAACAACTTTGAGGTTTTCTATTTCGCATAAGTAGTCTTAATGTCTCCAAAACTTAACTTACCAGTTCGGTAATCAATTTCGAATACTTCGTCCTCATTTCCGCTGGATATTGTATAAATTAATTTCCGTTTAAGCGGACTTTCGGCCAGTATTGCTATGGAGAGTGCTGAAAATAGTTCGGCATTTTCCTTTACGACATCGGAATAAAATTGTTTATCGAATGTGGGCATAGAGCGGTCAACAACCTGGGAAAGAGTTCAAATGAAAGCAGGTTAAAATGATTTTATAAAATTTATGAAGGCTAATATGAGGTTTCCGTCCAACCAACAACTACCGTATAGTCGAGTATTAGCGTAAATCTACCCAGAAAACTTTAACCTACGATAATTATTTGTTAGCTTCAAAATGTGCTGATATATGTTTTAATCTCAGAAAAAGGTGAATTAGTTCGTGCGACGATTTATTACGAGTTCGACGTGATTAACTCATTAACAGTCCATCGATATTCGTTCGTTCATGGACGAAATCCACAACGACTGTTGACAACAGCGTTACTTGAGCTAATCTGCTCTTTTACTACCAGAGTGCCAAACCTCTTGCTCAATTCGGTGAACACCTATACTCTATGGATTTCCATATAAGCTACGATTCTAAATACATCTACCCTTGACACACTTAGTAGCTCTGCTGTTATTTTCCTGCTATAGTCAAGCCAAAGCTCACGTGCTTTATTACAAGTCTTCACCTCCTCCTTGCTGTTTTCAGAAAGTGCAAGGGGATTTCTATTTGTATTTGTACATTTAAAAAAGCTCCCACCCAGTCAAGAGAGATGTACATTGATTGATGGTGATTTCGTTTCTTCCAAAAGATTTTGCCCTTCCACGGTGCAAAAGGTGTTTTTTTTTTTTTTTGATTGTAGAGAGTGTTAGATGGCCGGAAACTCCCACAGGCCAGGATCTCCTTCAAAACTGCAGCATCCAAACAGCTGCAGAGTGTTGTTCTCCTTCAAAACTGCAGCATCCAAACAGCTGCAGAGCTCTAGTATACATCTCGTCTTGACATTCGTAAAATTTCAGCTCTTATCAAGCCAGTTATACAAAACCGCCAAACAAAACAGAAAGGCAAAGTAAATGCCTACTTCCAAGTGCAATGAGCATAAAACAAACAAAAAAAACAAAAACAAAAAACAAAACAAAAACCGGAAAGCAGCAAATCACGAGCTTGGCCTTTCCCTGTTGAGCGATTTGACTACAAACATAAACAAAATATTAATTAAAAACAAGTATAAGTTAATTTGTACTATATATTTTGTACTCTATATTACAACTAAATATCAATTTGTGCCTCTTTCACAAAGTTGCACAATTCCTTGAGCATTGCTTCATCTTTTTTTAAAAAAATTTCATCAAAATCTTTACATTTCCTAACTGCATCAAACTTTGATCTTGTGCTAGCATATTTCCTGCAAGAAAAGATCGCGTGTGAATAATTGTCAACAGATTGACATTCCTCACATATATTGGACCTTAAAATTTTTACTTTATGTAGATACTCCTTATCATAAGTATGTCCTGTAAGAAGACGATTAATTAATTTGACATCTTTCACATCAAGCGATGACTTATAGTACCAAGGTCTGTGTGGTATGTCCGGAAAAAACTTGAAAAATGTTCTACCTTTATACTCAGACATCAGTCTGTACCTAGTGTTCCATTCATCTTTCAGAATGCTACTGATCTGTCTCAATGCTTCTTCCGGAGTAAGTAACACATTCAAAGGGGCCCCCACTGACACCGCCCACTTAGCCAACTCATCAGCCACCTCATTCATTTCAATCCCAACATGCCCTGGGGTCCATACTATTTCACACTCTAAGCCACTATTATTGATACTGGAATGTATTCTTGCAACTATGTAGTTGTTGGAGTCGCATTTTTCCAACAACCTACACGACGTCAAACTATCCGTAAAAATTACAATTTTTTTAAATTTGTCCTCAACCGCTATGTCAACTGCTTTGACAATAGCCCACAACTCACTAAAAACTGATGAAGTCTTGAAATTAATACTCCAGAGAAATTTCTGTCTATGTGTCACATTGAACACTCCACACCCCATGGAGTCTTCCCCACCCGATGCATCCGTGGCAAAAATTGTATAACCTCTTTCCTTGTACCTGTGTACTAGACTACTATACTCTGCTTGATACTGCTCTTTAGAGAAGTTCGCTTTTTTACCCTCAAGCACATGTCTCACAATTCTCAGATGCTCACTTTTATGAAAACTAATTTCCGTGCTAATATTATTAAAAATCTCCTTGAATTGATAGTAGGTAGTCGAGTAGCTGGAGTTATTCTTTTTATTCCCTTTGATACAGTCAAAAACTTCCGCATTTTCAAGCAGTTTATTGTAATGTGCTTTTACAGACAAGGACGACGTCAGAGTACGACCTATAAACTTGATTTGTTTAACTTGCTCTATCGAATGACTGTTGACCTGCAAATTTATCTCCTTTTTGCAGTTTTTGCTGAAATGTATTACTTTAGTTTTTTGTAAATTAATTACAAGGTTCAGACTACTACATCTTCTTACAAACTCATTGACTTTCTGCTCCAGCTTGACAGTTAATCTCTTAAAATCCCAATCATGTATTAAGATAAGAAAATCATCAGCAAATTGAAATACATCAGTCCAATTATCCTCACATTCATGTAAAGATCTGGTATATACATTGAACAGAAGTGGAGAAAGGCAGCTACCTTGTGGTAACCCATTACCTACAGTAACTGCACTTTTCCCAAGCCGTAATACCCTTTCCTGCAAGAAGGACCTAATCCAGTTTACATACTTGCTTTCAACCTTAAAACCCTTTAGCATATTAGACAAAGACAGCGTCGGCACACTGTTATACGCATTACTAATGTCCACAACAACTGCCACAACTTTTTGACCTCTATCCTTGTACACATGAATATTTTGTAAGATTTCATTTAAGCACATGGAGGCAGACCTCCCCTTACGATAAGCAAAACATCTATTTGGAAGCACACCCTTTTCAGCTAGGAAAGGGTCCAATCTGGCCTTGACCATCAAATTAACAGTTTTAAGAAGAACCGGTATTAACGAAATGGGTCTATAATTTTCATGATCACCAGGATCCTTACCACTCTTAAGAATGGGTATCACTTTAATGATACGCCACTCCCTTTCAACTTCCCCCCTCATAAAAGCGTCACTCAACGTATTTACCAGCATTTCCTTTGAGTCGTCAGAGAGCGCACGAATCATTTCGTACGTGATTCTATCATGACCCCCTGCCGATTTTTTTTTCTTACTTTTAAGTATGGAATTCAGCTCCACCAAGCTGAACCTTGGAACTGTCGTGTCACAACACTCAGCATTTACATCACCCCTCACATCCTGACAATTCATTACTTGCCCTTTCAAATGCTGGAGAAATCTATCGTTCCATTCCTCCGGCCATTGTGACATGTCTGACTTTCTTGAGTTTCCTTTTAAGTTGTTTACGAATCTCCAGGCCTCCTTAGTATTTGGCTCCATATTCAGCCTCTGTACGCTTTCCATGAAGTTTTGATTCTTCGCTTTTTTTACTTCATTCTTCCATGTTTCCTCACACTTAAGAGCATAGTTAAAATTTTCCGGGGTCGGTGCAGAATTACATTTCTTTCTCGCCGCTTTGTATAATCTGAAAAATTTGTTTAAGTCCTCTCTCCACCATGCTTTTGGTGTTTTATCATTTAAAATCGTAGTGGCACTTTTAATCTCATTTTTTAGGGTCTGTGTAACGCAACCAACTGTGGGTTCAAACTTAACTTTATTTAAAGAGCTAAACAACTTTTTTTTTGATAAAAAACTGACACCTTTGGTTTCTGTAAAATTCACATCCGTCACAATAGGATAGTGATGACTCCCCCCAATTTGAAATTTTAGCACCTCCCAATTAACTTGTGTGGACACATTAGTAAAAGTTAGGTCCAAAACCGAACCCCTTTTCATGTCATTAATCACTGGTCTGAAAGTGATGTCACCATTGTTCAGGCATTTAAAGGTTGAAGCATTTATGAAACTGGACAGCCATTTCCCTTTCGGGTTATCAACTGTATCCCCCCATACAACCGAACGAGCATTCAAATCGCCCATTACAAAAACATTATTAAAAGCTTCAAGAAAATTTAAAAGGTTTGTGATGAAATTCCTAAACACAGTGAGATCCATTGACGGTTCACAATATACCGAGCAAATCACTAAATTTGTGATCAGATTAGTAGTTTGTACCACACAAACATCATGATCTGATAAATATCTCAATCTCTTAAACTTAATGGCTTTTCGGAGTGCTACCGCAGCTCCCCCATATCCATCAGCTCTTTTCTTTTCCACCAAATTAAAATTCAAAATATTCTTCCTACCATTTTCATCATCATGTGAGTAAACCTCACTGAGACACAAAATATCAAAATTATTACTGTTAGCAAAAAAATCTATATTACTGGCATTCTTCTTTAACGATTGTACGTTATATTGTAGTATCTTCATTCTGATGATTAATTATTAACCCATCATCTTGACTCGTGTCACTATTCTCCAGGTTCAAAAAGTGCTGCTTTAACCGATCATTAAGGTGCACAAAAGCATTAACACCTGCAGGAAAATCTACCTTACGGAACGCATCTCTTGCAAACTTAGTCATTTCAGTAGTGATCTTCTCAATCTCAGACACAATATGTAAGTTTTGTCTGTTCAAGGCTATACCATTTTGTTGAGACGTAGTCCACACCCTCTTTTGAACTGCTTCTTTCGGTTGCACCTTCCTGACTGTATTTACCTTCCTTGCACCAGCATTCTTCAATTTACTTGCAAAGCTCATAGGAGTAAGAACAGCATTCGCCTCCCTGTCATTATCCCTCAAACCGGATTGCTGTGAACTAAGCTCTGGAAAATCTTCCACACTTAGTAACTCAAACCTGTTACTATGACCCTCCTTACACTCATTTAGAGCCTCCAGTCCTGATTTTCTCTTTAAGGTCATAATCTTAATAAGTCTATCCTCCTTCATCCAAACAGGGCAATGAGCCTTGTTGAACGAATTATGCGACTCATCACCGCATAAAATACATTTGGTCGAAGTACAATTCCCTACACATCCATCATTTTTGCCACATTTCAGCTGACTTGCACCCCTTCTGCGTATGGCCCAGCCTTCCGCACTTGAAGCACTGTCTCACCATGGGATAAAAATGGTTAACTTCCAGTATTGTGTAATCCAAAACCACTTCTTTTGGAATACAATCCCCCAAAAAACCAATCTTCACCGACAGAGTTGGTATTCTATTGCTACTTTCTTTGCTTTCTCGCTTTGTGAGCCGCTGAACCGACATAACTTTAACCGCCGATCTCAATCCCTCCCTGATCTCTCTCTCGGAGTACTCAACCGGAATGTGTCTAATAACTCCAAAAGTCTCAACATAGTTCTTTGGAATGAATGTCTTAATTTTTACCGATTTTAAGACATCACTTTGTACACACCTATTCGCATATGAAGCATTAATAAAGTACACTTTGTACAACGTAACTCCTATAGCCTTTATCGTATCAATGCCCTCAATTCCCAAATCCTTAATCCTGCTCCACAAGTATAAACCGTTTCTAACTTTCTTGTTGTGCACCGTGTCACATTGGTTAGTATCAAACAGTACACATGCTAACCCTTTATGGCTTGCTGGGTATAAAACCATTTCTCTTTCTCCTCTTTTTCCATATTCACTTGACAAATTTTTGCCGTTTACACTATTTGTCGCTTCACCATTTTCGCCAACTGTACCATCGGCAAATGTCCCGTTTCCAGTTAGCGTCATATCACTTGGCGTCACCTCAGTCCCGTTACCTTTTCCTGTACCTATTCCCTTGTCCCTCATCCATTCCACAGCATATTCCTAAAAATCCATGTTAGAAGGATTGACGGAACCTAAAACCTTTGAGGCCCCCCCCTTTTTGCAATCATTGGCATCCGTTTTAAATCTTTTATGTTTAAAATCCACCGGAGCCTCCACATGCTCCTCCTCAGTCTCCCCCAAATCATCAGCTTTTGACGCCATGGCGTCACCTACTCTACCTTCAACAACACGTTTCACTTTCCTTGCACGTATTAGCACAAATTAATTGAAACACAAAAAGCACAAAATCAAATAGCAAGATGCAGCTTACCGTTGGGCAAAGCCCCCAGCAATTCCACAAAAACTCCAAAAGATTCCGCAGTGGTCACAAGGAATCCGCAATCCAGAACAAAAATCAAACTTGCAATTAAACTCAGCACAAAACTAATTATTCAAAACTGATAATTAAAACTCAGCACAATTACACTGAAACCGCAGCGCAGAGATCAACCAACCACCTTTTTCGCTTGCTCAAATGGAAGTGCAAAAGGTGTTTGATGTTACACTCAACCCTCTAAAAGGACATGTTTTTTCCTTCTTGTCCTTGTCACGCATTTCAAAATATTGTCGTTTTAAGCAACCATTTGATTTTCAGGGAAACCTTCTCCCGAGACAAATCTAGGGACACGCATTTCGATACAATACGACACCATACCGATATTTTTTACTGGAGTGCCAGATTAACAATTCTTACCTATATAAATTGGACTTTAAAGAACAGAAATGTTTACTATCATTGGAATTGCATGTGGCGGGATTTGAACCCGCGGTCTTTCTGTTTTAATGTTAGTGTTTGGAGGAGAAGCCTCCGATTTGTCGCGTGCGCCTTGATGTTGTGCTACAAAGCGGATCCATGCAGTTTTACGCCGACTTTGAACGGCGATTGTTTTTTTATGAGAAGCTGTTTTTCGCACTTCTAATCACTACACTACAGCAGCTATATGCCTATGACTTCAGCCTAAAACATGCTGGCATGGTTTGCCAGCCGCAGGTAGCGATTTACACCCCAGCAAACATTGAGGTTAGTTATCGATTAGAGAATGATTGGAGAACAAGCCACATTCTCAAATCTCAAACGTTGGAGAACGACTCGAAAAACTATCGAGAATTATAGCGATCTCAACAAAAAATGGGACATAGTTCTCGACTCGAGATAATATTAATTCTCTAATCGTATTCTAATGTTGATCTCTAATGGGATTCGAATGTGAATTTTAAACTGCTGTTTAGCTTTCTTAAACAAAACGCTTTGTTTGTAAAATTTATATTAAATGTATTTGCAATAAAATATTGAATATGAATTGTTTGAACTTAAAAATAGTTTATGATTAATTCATTCAGAATATTGCTTATTTACATTTATTTGAATTTGCGTTGTTTCTCTACTTGTTCTCAAATCGAATTCTAATGTACTTCTTTAACCTCGTCATCGACTCGAGAACGATGAGAGAACTACCCTTGTTATCTAATGTAGATATCAAAATTTCTCTAACGTTAGAGACTGTATTTGCTGGGACCCTACTCCTACACGGCAGTCCATCTTGGACCCGTCAGAGGTCTTCTTAATTATCAGCTTGGGCCTTTCTCCATTCCCTTCTGGATACAAGCACAAGTGGTTTTATGCTTAGAACATTGTGGTATGGTTTGGGTATAGATAAACTTTCTCCTTCAGTCCAGTTTACCATTTAAAATATTCGTGTTGATAGAGCATCCGACGAACAGCCATCAGTGATGCCGACTGACTCATTTTTATTCCCACACATAAAAAAAATCGCAAAAACGGAAGAAGAGCTTAAAACCCGTGTTTAGCGGACTAGAAAATGTGCTGCGACAGAGGTACGAGCGCATGCAAAAGTGTTTAAAACTTAATGGAGAATATTTTGAAAACAGTGAGGACAATTTGGTTAATATTGTCTGTATTTGTTTCATTGTTGGGAGAAAATTGTTGAGATCAGCTCACGTACGAACTAATTGTTTTTAAGTTTATAAATTATGTACTAACTGTCGTTTTCTCAAGTAACCTGTAACTTTAAAGCTCACTTTATATTTTTTATATTTAAAGGTAGTGATGGCAAAAAAAATTTAATAATCGATTAATCGGTTAATTGATTAATCGAAGGCATTCGATTAATAATTGCAATTAATCGTAAGAAATTAACCGATTAATCGGTCATTTCGATTAAAATCGAAAATTAATGAAAACCATTTATAAGTTATAAAAACTGACTTACACTCCGCGTCAAAATTATAGCGCACGACAGTTTTGTAGCCCATTAAAGTTTTGTATGAAAAATTCCAAGACTGAAGTATCTGGCACTTACCGCTGATTTTTGGTATTTTTCTGTTTGGTAATGGTGTTGCTTATTTTCTTCCATATAAAAAAGAAGAAAATGCGCAACGACGAATTCGGAAAATAAAATGGAAATATGTGCATACTTGGGTTGGGATTTTTTAGTAGCTACTTAGGTTAAGCTTGTGTTGCGGTTTTTGGCAGAAATATCGTATACAAAATTTGAAGAATACGAGAATGTAAAAAACATCTCAACGTATTTTGATTCATACGTTATTGTGTAAATGAGTAAATTTTTGATGGTTTCTTTTCGATTATTTTGAAAAATTAATCGGTTAATCGCTCGATTAATCGAAAGGAAAATTTCGATACAATTAAATCGTTAACCGAAAGAAAATAACCGATTATAATCGGTTATTCGATTAATCGTGCCATCACTATTCAAAGGTTACATCAAAATTTGTGATTGTGTCTAAAGTAAAACACTTTATTACCGGTTTTAAATTGTTTTACAAATACGAAACATACATGCGTCAGAAACCAATAATAGAAATGCTTAACTTTAGACATAGTTTTATTTATTTTTTTTCAGAAAACTGCCCTAAGTATATTGAAGCAAGTTTTAACAACTCTAGGTGAACGCCAAGCAAACTCTGCACATTTATGTATGTATGTACGTATTTAGATGGTTTATATTTTTTTTTCACACTATAAGTAATGAACTCAACACTCACCTTTATGTTAACCGCTGCATCTGTAGAACACGGAGAAATTGCACCATCGTATGCAGCGATAATCAAATCGTACACTCTGGTACTACCATCGATATTTTGCTTCAACACCAATTCACCCGACTTGCGATCCACTTTGAAAAGCTCACCGTTTCCTTTCTTCATCTCGTAACGCACTTCACCATTTTCATAACTATCCAAATCCACAGCCTTCACCTTTGTTATCACTGTACCTTTGGCATCATCAACAGATAGTGTGGCATAATAAGGTAAATTCACGAAGATTGGACAATTGTCATTCACATCGAGTAT